CTTTAAGCTAACCATGATGTTCCCAGACTAAAGTTCCAACTCCCATTCAATGCATACAGAACCCTTATTCACAATAATGGGAAATACCTAACTGGCCCATACATTAATGGGAAATATCTATCTGTGTTCCAATGCTTGACCCATCTAAATAGATGGTATTTCAGGCGTGTTTCCTTTTTCACTGGTGGCCTAGCAAGATAGCATATCGCAAAGACACTGCCACTTAGAATATGTGTTTCCATTTGTTACTTGGAATTCCCCTTCTTCCTGTCTGGTGACTCATATTTACATTTGGTAGCGGCAGTTGAATTTTTCCCAAGAGCTGCTTCTTACGAACATTATTGCCTTTCAGAATTAGCCTGCAGTTTGTGCCATGGTTCTAACCTTCTATGACTCAGTTATACTTCCTGTTCCCAAGTGTGTCTAGTTTAGCAGAGTGAACTGTTATTCTTTTGAAGTCATCCTTTCATGCCAGGCCTCAGAGGACCTTCCCAGTAGTGTCTTTGCCTTCATTTGGCTCCCACCATCAATATTTAAAACCTGTCATTTCTAATGCTGTATAAATAGGATCTCATTGTGTCTTGCCAAAAAGCTGCATGTAGCCTCACCTGTGAAGCTATATAAATACACTCACAATTAATTGGTAGTCTTTGCTTGTATGAATAAAAGGTCTGTATAGTGTGAACATATACAATAGACCCAGGGCTTAGGAAAGCATTATCACATGGCAGGGGGGGAAAAGAGAAGATGGACAGATGGAGGAGAAAAGGAGACAAATAAAAAAGCATCTTCTAATCTTTTGCTGCCATTTTCTGTCATGTTCCTGCTGCTCTGAATCCCTGATTGAGAGGAACCTCTGTTTCAGTCATTCCAACATCATCGATTCAGCACAGCCAGAGCCCGTGAAATTGGCAGCTGCATAGGCAGGGGTAGATGAGAAAACAATGCAGTGCTGGAATCTTCACCCACTCTGTCATGCTTCCAGGTCATCTCCGAATGCCTGCTGGCTGTAGAAGCAGAGCAGTGAGTTGAAGCAATTCCAGCACCTCAGGAGACTGAGTCTTCTGCTAATTCATAGTATCTATGGTGAAATGGCCTTTAATTCACTCAGCTGTTAGCTGCAGTCGGTCATAATGTGACCTGACAAATGACTATCATGCTGGCAGGAAGGCATGCAGTAGCTCGGTATTCTCAGTCTAGATTCCCAAACATATTTTAGCTTCATCATATCAGTCTGAAGAGCCAGGCGTTACTTATTTTATTATGTTGATGTGTTATTAAAATAACAGTGCAATATTATAGCTTAGCACTCAGTAGTTATTTGGAAGTTCAGATTAGTATATCCAGTTAGTTGTCAAATGGGGTGTTCTATACAGAGCATTTTCATGAGTGTGTGTGTGTGTGTGTGTGTGTGTGTGTAAATATATATGGTGTGTCTGTGCACACATGTAATGACAATGACCTCCATTGATAGAGAGATTTCATCAGAAGGACATTTTAGAGTGTCAGATTGAGAACTCAAGAGTTAGGAACTCCCATAAATTATGGCCGCTGCTGCAGGGTTAATTCAGCCATGACCTGTGTATTTTATAGTATAGATTTCCACAACAGAAACAGTCATATGGATTCAAAAAAGAATACAAATATATAAGATAACACACACACATCGATAAAATATTAAATAAAACGTGGATAATGTGACTATGTTTACACTGTGACATTTGTGCTTTCTGAACCCTACAGTTGTAAATAGTTTTACAAAAATGTAATTTTCCTGCTCTGAGCAGGGTTAATAACACTGGTAAAAATGCCAGTGGTCGACCAACACTAACTTTCCCACCACTGCTATCATTAGAGCTGCATTGGAACTAGAATAACGATGGGAGATTTCCCCAAAATACAGCCAAATACCCATTCCCATCCATGTCACTAATAGTGTATATCTACACTGCAGATGTGCAGGTGTGGTTGCAGCTCAGGTAGGCATACACAGGCTAGCTTTAATCTAGGTAGCACAGCTAAAAATAGACATGAAGATGTGGCAGTATCAGCTGTGTAACCCCATCCGGTCACCCTGGGTATCTATTCCCTTTGCTAACCACCATGAAACTTACTCCAGCAGGTTTTCACTGCTATTTTTAGCTCTTGTAGCTACATGAAAGCTAGCGTGGGTGTGCCTACCCAAGCTGCAACACACCTAAGACTGCAGTGCAGACCTACCTAATGAGACCCGTGTCTTTAAGGTGAAAGGCCCTTTCAGAGTGACCAAGTGACCATGAGTCTATTGTACTGCACCATGTGATACATTTTTTAAAATTCTTAAATACAGCATGTGCACAATGACAATTTTTAATACATCCATTATTTTCCCAAAATAGATCAGCTCCATAGGAGCCATTGTAATGCACATGATTTGCCTAATATATTGCAGTACAGAACATTGCTTACCCACCTAGCCACGACAGGGCCCAGAGTAACTGTATCTGCAGTGGCAGAGATGTCTGACTGAAAAAAATGCACGTAATTTCTGAAGTGTGTGTGTATTGGCACCTTATTACAGCTGTGTGTTACTGCACTGGAACCTATGGAGTTCCCACAGACTCAAAGGTCCCTATTAGCCAATATTTGCACGCTACTGTCCTCTGGTGGTCAATCTGTCACACTATCCACTGAATTGATGTTTTTGCATAATGTGGATAGAAAACAGGCAGATAACATACAGGTGTGTCTATTGCTTTTGGGTCCTGTTTCTTAGCCTATCCCTCTCTTATAGGTCATACCCCTAAGAAACTCCTAGTGGAAGCAGTGTTGTCTAGCATTTTTGTTTTACGCCACTCTGAGCAGAGTAGCCCAGCACCAACCATCTTTCTATTATTTGTTTGCCAGAGTAGCTCAAATATCTTGGGCCTGAATCTCTTCTGGCACAGATGAAAATCAGGATTAAGTCAGTGGATTTACATTGGAGTAAGACTAGTATAAAGGCAAGGAGAAACATGCTTTTTGGCCTGGTCCACACTAACCCCCCACTTCGGACTAAGGTACGCAAATTCAACTACGTTAATAACGTAGCTGAATTCGAAGTACCTTAGTCCGAACTTACCGCGGGTCCAGACGCTGCAGGCAGGCTCCCCCGTCGATGCCACGTACTCCTCTCGCTGAGCTGGAGTACCGGCGTCGACGGCAAGCACTTCCAGGATCGATCCAGGATCGATTTATCGTGTCTAGACAAGACGCGATAAATCGATCCCAGAAGATTGATCGCTTACATCCGGACCAGGAAGTAAGTATAGACGTACCCTTTAACTCTAAAGCTTATTTAGTCTCAGATTCATAGTTACCTCCCCGCCACACCCCAGCCAGATCACCTCAAGTTGAGTGAACTCTTCATAACTCTACTTGAACAAGTCACTCCCATCAATTAAGGCATAACCAGGTGTTTCGGTTGGTGGGAGCTGGCACTCTTCCCTCAGATTCAGGACTGAACTAGTGCCCCAGCAAGATGTTATGTAAGTGGTGAAGGTATCTGTAAGCTTGAATGGGGGTGTAAGTAGGGCAAGATGCACTTTTCCCCCAGTAGAAAGGCACGTGTATGGTAGATAAAACGGTAAGCAGTGGCACAAGTTGAGAAGGTTGGGAAATGCATTTTGAACAGCGCAGCAGAAAGTGAAAGCCAGCCAGCTTTGTATGTGGAGGTGGCTGAACCAGTTAAGCCCATTGCTAATTAATTATTTTACACTTTTTCGTTTCTGTCTTGGAGCACATTGGGCACATTGTCAGCACATCTCGCCCTTCGCCGCGATCGATATTGCATATGCACTGCATGTAGGACCTGAGTGGCATGTAATTAGAAAACCATATTGATTTCCAGGAAAGAGGTTGCAAACATGCAGATCTTCCACATAAAAAAGCAGTTTGATCTTCAAATGACTTGATTAAAAGCTTTATTTTCCTTAGTAAACAAGATAACTTGGTGAAAAAAGACCATGCAAAAGGTCTGATCCTGTCAGCATAATAGGCAAGCATTACCTTCTCAGTGAGTAGTCCCATTCACTCCAGTAAGACTCCTCTTATGTCTCAGGATCAGGCCCCCCACATGATTCTTATTTATTTATAAAGTGCAGCAATATGGCCGCTATATTTGTTTGCTTTTGAAAGTGGGTGGGAGCAGTGCACTTGTGTTCGATGAAGCTGCTGTTTTGTCCTGTGTGCGGCACTGCTCAGGCGAGGACTGTGGGTGGATGTCTGTCAGCACTAAACTGCCTTTGTCTAACTCTTTTGTTGGTGACCAGTGTGGTTGCAGACGCAGACAGCCTCTGAATTGCAGCTGTTGTCTGCAAAGCATACAGAAGAGATCGTGGTGCATCCAAACCCATCCCTCTAGCCTTTCAGAGCTCAGACATCAGCCCTTCTGTGAAATGGCAGTGAGCTGGAAGAGCATTTCTTCTCACACAAAGCTCACCAAGCACCCCATTCTTGCCAATATGAGCAACATCCATGCTGCCATACAGTTTTGGCTGAGTATGCAACCAAGGATATGTTTGCCTCATTAGGCTTGCTGACAAAATACAGCAGCCTGCTCTGTCACACACTTTCTGCCTCCATCCTGTCCTTGTGTTTCTGCCGTACTCTGAAATGTCATGATTTTGGCAGCAATCAGTGTCACTTTTTTAATATTTGTACTTACATGTTCAGGACCCAGCTACTCTCAGTTACACATGTTCACAAGATCTGTTGAATTCACTGGGAGTCATGCATGCAACCGAGAGGATAACAGAGCCCCTTGTTTTTTGCATAGGACAAATGCAGTAGTGGGAAAAGTTCACACCCAATTTTGCAGGCCTTTCTGAAAATCCAGCCTTTACATACCCTCACCATGTAAAATGGCTTCAGAAAAGCATGGACAAGAATGTTTTTCTTAAGTGACGTAGAGAACTTCTGCCTGCTTTTTATTTGCATTTGCAAATACCTTAATAGTTTACCTAGGTTTTTTGTGCCCATAGCAGCAGAGAAGAGAGAAGGAGATGAGGAAGCAGCAGGAAAGAGAGCAGAGGCGGCATTATGAGGAGCAGATGCGCCGAGAGGAAGAGAGGAGGCGTGCAGAGCACGAGCAGGTAAATCTGCAGAGGATTCTGGGTGAATCAGTCCCCAACATCGAAGGCTGAATTCTGAGGTCAAAATTGCTTCCCCTTGGGATTATTGTCTATTGTGATATATTTTAGTTCTTTGCAAGCAGTGGTAAATTACAATTCATTTAATAAGTTAAAAGCAAATCTACTTATTTCTCTCACATTTGATCACTTTCATCACTAAAGAGTAAATTGCTTAATTGCTAACCCCCTGTTTATTGCTTTTCACTGTATTAATTCCCTTCTATCTGTTGGCCAGCAATTCTGGGGCCACTTAATATACATTTTCCCACTCCCACACTCCCTATATAAAGCTTTTGTTTACTACTGTCTCTAGTACTTTACCTTGGTTCCCAACAAAACTGGTCCCTCCTCTGCCTGAATTGACCTCTTTATAGCGCTCAGAACACGTGGCTTCTCAGGATAGTAGGGTAAAAAGAGTAGAGGAAAATATATAAAAAGAGTAGAGGTGCTGATTTGTCATTGCCAGCTTTAGAATGGGGTTTGCTTAACGCTTGACCCTCATCCCCACTCATGAAAATAAGATGAATATCACAGTCCTGAGGCTATCCCGTTGAGCAACATTTTGCATAATTCATAGTAGCCATAGAACTTTTTAGCTTTTCTGATAACACTACAGAACTTACAAAGGTGCTTTACATCTTCAAGACGCTGTATAAGCACTAAAGACCTTGTCCTGTTCAAGAACCGTGTGTGAAATTCCCATTGCCTTCCTTGGAACTACCATCGCCTACACTGGAGTGTTCCATGAGCAAGACCTTAAGGGATTGTCCCCTAACTAATGAAGGCTTGCAATGCCACTTCAGGGTTGGGAATACTTGTCTATACTACCAATGCTTTGCTGGTATAGCTATACCAGCAAAGCTCCCTGGTGTAGATTCAACTCATGCCAACAGAAGCAGTTTTTCTGCCAGCATAGTTACACTACCTCCTCAGACGACATTAGCTATGCTGACACTGTCAGCATAGCTGCGTCTACAATAGGGATTTTGCTGGCATAGCTATGCCTGCTAAGGGGTATAGTTTTCTGAGACATAGCTACGCCGACAAAACTTGGTAGTGTAGACCTGGCCTTATGTTACATCCTACAGATAAGGAAAGTGAAAGGACAGAGGTGGAGATTTTCAAAGGCCTAAAGGAATCACTTTTTTGTTCTGCCCACTTAAAACCATTTCCCTTCCTCTGCTCATATGGAAGAGACTAATTTATTTAAAAAAAAAAAACACCCTTCAAGGTCCAAATTCTGAACTCACTTACCCCAGTGTAATTCCAAAGTACTTGCATAGTCTGTAATGGAGTTAATCTCTATTTATATTGGAGTAACTCAGAACAAAATGTTGCCCTCAAATTATAGCTGTGTCTTTTACTTTTTTTCAATACAGTAGAATGTAAAGCTTGTGTCATTTCAATCAGCTACAGGCAGGTGAAATTCTCAGTGTTTTCAGTTTAAATTAATGGACTTTGTGTTCTTTTGCAGTTGAATCTCTCTGTGTTTGAGCCAGGGTCCCCTTAGTGTTTCTGCCATTTCTATCCTTCATGCAGCAGCTCCTTCCTCTGTGGAATTACTGGCTCTTTTTCTCTTCTCTCTTTCCCCACCCCTTCACCCTGATCCCTGCTGCCCATGTCTCCAGGAGTACATCAGGCGACAGTTAGAGGAGGAGCAGAGACAGTTAGAGATCCTGCAGCAGCAGTTACTGCAGGAACAAGCTCTACTTCTGGTAATGGGGAGACCACATCCCTGCTTACCCGCTTTCTGTTTGTAGTGTGCCTGTCTGTGTGTGCCTGTGTGTCCCCATGCCCTCTGAATGGCTAGTATAATGAGTCGGGCTATGTAGGTAACTTGCATACAATCACCTGCTGCGCGGATTTAATTAAACCCATAAACCTCGTAACCACACAATTCTCCAAGACTCCACTCTGCTAAGAATAACATGCTGAGGTTTTTGTTTCATAAATGCAAATGGAGCCGCGCTCCGAATTCTTGTATTTTTTTCCTCTCAATTCCGTGACCTCTCACTGATTCGATATCCTTGCTGCGAGCTCCTTTCTCACTCAGTCTGTCTCTGTAATGTTGGCATGCTTTTGGCTTCATTAGAAGTGCAGGCCGCTTCTCAGCCCCACTGTGTTTATTGCAGAGTAATTTTTAAGGCCGTTAGCAGCGTACTGGAATACAATCAAACTGAAATGTACTTGTACTCTGCATACCCACTCAGCTTTACAAGATATGATAGCCATATTTCATTTGCAAACTATTAGTTTTACTTTCTTGACAGGAACATTTTGTGTTCCCTTCTCATGCTGCTTCCATTTTAGACAATGTTTTTTATTGCATTATCTCCTGAATTGCCCCTTTTTCTTCTTTTGTTTAAAGCGAGAGTTATATTTATCAGTATTTATGGTTTTCTTTTAAATAAAACAGAGCTCCTTATTGGTCTCTGTTTCCACTGGCTTTATTTAGAGAAAGAGGGAACTCGTAAAAATCCCTCCTTTTTAAAGGTACTTAAATATTAATGATTATTAATTAAACCTTTAAAAAGCCCCAGTGCTTCAGAGAGATCCATTAATTGGCTCTGCAATTCAAGTGTTGCCACAATCACCCACTCCTATGAGCTGCTGAGCACCAACCAACTCCCAGTGGCTTCAGTATGAAATGAAAGCACTCAGCACCTCACTAGATGGGTCCACTGTTACCCTCCTCTGCAAAACCTGGTGATCAGCAGTTGTAACTTACAAACCCAGCAAGGATCTCAAATTATTCAATGGATTTTCTGTTTGGTCAACTCAGTGTGAACCTGATTCTGTTCTTTGAACATAGAGGCTGCTTAAGGGATTTAGATACCAAGCTCCCATTTGAAATGTGGCTTTAAAATCTCAACCACAGTGATTGAAGTTAATATACTTAGTACTTATGTAGCCCTCCTTGGACCAAATTTAACCCTGGCATAAGAGGGGGTGAGTGACTATGTTGACGGCCCTGGAGCTGCACTGCATGTACAAGGTCTTGATGGGGACCGTCATTTCCAAACTCCTTTATAATCATGAAGGGTCAGAAACCCATTCCTCCAGTGGGGAATGATTGCTCAGACTAATTGGCCTAGGTGGAACTACTTGTGCAAGCAGCTGCTCCCCTGTGTGAGCAAGGGGTCCAAATGTGGCCCTAAGTAATTGATTTCTACAGTGCCCCATTAAGAATATTAACATCCCCAGTTTCCATATGGGAAGCAGAGGCAGAGAGCCTAACTTGCCAACGTGTGTCAAAGCTGAAATTAAAATTCGCAGGATTCTTTGGTTCTGGCTCTTAGAATATGTCTCTCTCCAGGTTTCTTTATGGTTTACTCTTTCACTGGGCCCCCACAGGCTTAAGAACTGATTGGTTTCATAGGGCTAAGCCATGCTATTTATTTCGGTTTATTTTTCACCAAACTGATAAATATCTGATCGCTCACACGCTAGCCTGACTATCTCTATACAGCTTCTCACACCCATGTTACGGTGTTGTTGTTCTTGGGTAGGAGTATAAGCGCAAACAGTTAGAGGAGCAGAGACAAGCGGAGAGGCTGCAGAGGCAACTTCAACAGGAGCGAGACTACCTGGTCTCCCTGCAGCAGCAGCAGCAGCAACGGCAAGACCAGAGGCCAGCAGAGAAGAAGCCGCTGTACCATTACAAGGAGGGAATGAATGCAAGTGAGAAGCCAGCTTGGGCCAAGGAGGTAGGAAAGACTGAGTCCATTTGTGCCAGATCCTTGTTTGTCCCCACAAAGTGACCCCTTATAAATGGAGAGCTGGGATGGGATGTAGTTCTGTTTGAAAGTCTTTCACTGAAAATTACACTTACCCCAGTGTAATTCCATGGGCTACAGTGGGGTTACTTTTCACTTACAATATTGGGAGGGAACGCTAAAGGAATGGGAATTCCAGAATGCCAGTCCCTGTTTACTTTGTGGTTCAATTACTGTAGAGGATTCCTGAAGCCAGGCCAAGACTAGGAATGTGATGCTCTCTTCTCTGCTGTAATTATTATTATGGTGAGAGTTGCTGGATGAAAAGTGGTCCAGTGCAATTCAGTAGCTCTGAAGTGGATTCCGTTACACTGTTCACATTCTAGTTGAGTACTGAATTTGAAGCTGTGGTGATATGCACTGGAAGGGTGTTTCTTCCTGTTGTAGAGATTATATGGTACCAAGTGTCCTATATAGTTATTGTTGTTTTGTGCTTTTCAGGAACACAATCTCTGTTGCTTTTTTTTAATGCAAAAACAGGACACAGCATCTAATAATGCTTATTTTAAAAGTGAGATGTGAATACTAGATATAATTTTACTGACAAGTATTGAAGGAGATGCACACATGCAAGCATGCAGTACAGTCTCTGGATCATATGCATTCCTTTTCCCTTCCCCCTACCCCAGAGATATTTTATTACCCAGAAAGAACACTGTCCATTATTACTGTTTGTCCTAGAATAGTGTGTTTTAATAGTATAATTTTGTAATTCTACTCCCAGGTACAGCAACGATATCTTAATAACTCGCCTGTTCTCCCAGCTAAGCAGAATCACTCATCTGTTGCCAGACACTTGGCACCCTTCATTACTGGCAAAGATGTAGCACCACAATCCAACATTAAGCCTTCTTCTAATCTTTCCAAGTCACAACCCTCAGCTAAACCAAATCTGCAATACCTACGAGCATTAGATCCTCAGCAAGTGAACCCATTAGTCTCTGCTAAGCCAAGACAGGTTCCGCCAATTATTATGATTTCTAAACCAAGATCCCAGGTACAGCAACGCACCCAGAAGGGAGAAGAAGCCATCTGGACACATTCTCAAATTAGACTTGGGCATCAAGAGCGATCAAAAAAGAATGATGGTGTGATATCCCTCAAAGGGTCTCGCTCTCAAGGATGTAGTCCGGTTAGGAAATCAGGATTGGAGGTCACGTGTGTTTCTTCTCCTCATGTTTCAAAAGGAATAAATTCACATTTGCCTAATAACGGAGTGAAAATGGACTTTAAAGAACATAATGGAGACCGGGGAAGAAAATTTGCTCCCTCACGCATGCCTACAAGTCCCTTATTTCCCTCAAGAAGCACTCCATCATTAAACAATATTGACTTGATGTGTGATCACCTAGACCTAAGTGCTTCTAACCCAGAACACATTTTAAGAAAAATGAAGACTCAAGCCCTTCATAAGAAGTTCCATGCTTCCTTTGAAAGTATCCCAGGACTCCTGCCATCTACAGGGATCCTTCGTACACAAATGCAACAGAAAATAGGAAGAAGCATGGATCAGCTTCCCCTTCCATCTCTTGGTCTTTCTCCACAATGTTCTCATTGGAATGAAGTCATTTTGGCTCCTTTGTCTTCTCGCTCCCGTTCATCTTCTGTGGACTTACTTTCCTTTCCCCTTAATTCCAATCTGATTCAGGCTTCTAAAGTTGGCAGGAGCAATGCTCCAAATAGCATGTCTTCACAGGTAGCCCCAGGATCATTCTCTAATTCTTCCTATTGTTCTCCCAAGCTTTCTCCTCAAGTATGTAATGGAAAAAGTTTTGTAAATTTGCCTGTGATCAAGACATTCCTGTCATCGAGCACTCCTGATCTAAGAGATGTCAGACAACTTAACTCTGAGCTGCCTCTGGTGGGTGATGTCTTCCCAAACTTCCAGTGGGCTTAGCGCTTCCTTAGCTTTGTAAAAATCAGGACTGTCTATTGGGTTTTTGCTGTGGTGGAAATGTGTGGCAGCAAGCAGGGAAACGGGATGAAATTCCATCTTTAATAGCACAGCTTTAAATAAACTTTTCTAAATTCCAAACATGCCTCTGGCATTTTACTATCTTCAGTTCTGTCTATAAAAAGGTTCTTAAAGTCAAGACCTAATACGTTGTCTCTTGGTTGGGATGAGGGAGAACAGTGCTAGATTTGGCCATCAGTTCCAGTGCAAGGGCCTAATTCTGTCACTCTTACTCATGGTGAGTAATATCTGATTCCATGAGTCACCCCATTTCTTGGTACGTAAGGTACGACACAGCATGAGTAAGGGCAGCAGAATTTGGCCCTAAGCCTTTTGCTGAAATACATACTATAGGAAAGGATGTATCAGAGGGGTAGCCGTGTTAGTCTGTATCCACAAAAACAAGGAGGAGTCTGGTGGCACCTTAAAGACTAACAGATTTATTTGTTTATAGGGAAGGAGTGATTTACTGTCAAAATTTCATAGAGTTAATCATTAATTTATCTGTATAATCAGGTCAATTTTCTAATGAAAGGAAAAAATACTATGAAGTTGTTTTGGAATACAATGAACTAGAGTGCACATTTTAGGCCTTCAGAAAATATACACACATAGATAGCTCAATATAGATATACCAGTAAATAATATCAGTATTTACAAAATTTTCATTAGCACCTCTCAGCATTTTGTATTTAAGGGGTAGGTTGTGCAACCCAAACTCTCTCAGCACTTATACAAGTACACTTACTTCATTAGGAGTTACTTTTATGGAGTGAGTAACATGATCATGGGTGGTACAATCTAGCTGTAAATAGTCTAAACCTTCCATTTTTTGTGGACATAAAAACAACAGAGGTTCCCCTCCTAACCATACTTTCAAATCATACAGCACATGTTTGTTGCTATCACATGCCAATCTCCTTTATTATGGTAGCTGGCCGCTTTGAACCATGGGTCACCAGTGCTCACAGTTTTTCGCCCTAGGTTCATTAGGTTGTGTCCTGACAGACTCCATTTTTGGTTCTCAAGCTAGTCTGTGCTGGTGTTTGTTGCTGTTCTGGCTGCCAGTTTTTGGCCATGCTAGAAATTATACAAATTGCATGGACATAGTGCACTGAAGCTTTTCTGGATTGATTAATATCAGCATTGGTAGTGACAGTCCTCTACTTTCTCCAGGATCATTCTTGGGTTAAAATCAGCAGTTTTAATGAGTCCAGAGTCATATCTTCACAGCCAGACATTTACCCACTTTTGATCTTGTTCCCTTCGCATTTCTTTCTCAGCTGGGGTTTATTAGAAGCAAAGTGATAACTGCTTTTAGCTACGGGCGTAAAATCTTTCCAAATGCCATATGGCTCATTCCTTGTTGTTTATATTATTTATAACGAGCAATAGGTATAAAATATTAATAAAAAACAGAAAATGAAATTCCTGCAGTAAGTATTAGTCTAAAGAGAGACAATTCAGATGGGAGAGGGACGTGGATGTTCAAGGATCTTCACAAAATTGTGGTTCCCTGTAGGAACTTATAAAGTGTCCAAAATACTTTATGTGCAGGGTCTGAGTAGTACCTATCCAAAATTATGATTATTTTACCCCTGTATATCCTTTTCATGTGTAAAATTACTGTTTCAGCTAGAAAGGACCCCAAAAGGCCCGGGGTCAGCAGGATTAATTCTTGAGCAGAGGTTTCTGCTCCGTATATCTCCCCACGCCTACCAGGTTCTGGGGCAAAAGGGTAGGTTTGAGATTCAAACTGGAGCCTTGAGGTAGCAGTACACAGAGTTGCTGTGTCAGTGGATCATTCTTGGTGGTTTGGGAAGGTACCATTCCTGGATTTAATGCTGTACATTTTTGGCAGCAAGCTTCTGGGGAATTTTTTCATGATATTGGTTGGCACACGAAAATTCTTCCCACATCTGTGATGTTTAGATACTGCTTGTATTATTAGAACTGGGAGCACTGGCTGTTGGGAGTCTGAAAGGACAGGAAACAGGAAGGAGGGGGGAGGAGTTGAGGATGCTGAGTGAGAGTTACAGAGGGTGCAGTAGCAGCTTGGTAACGAGGTTTCCACTGTAAAAATAAAGTTCTGTTGAAGTTTGTTAGTACCTTGCCTGGTTGATACAACAACATCATGGCCTCCCTGCTAGTCTTTCACACTGCCAGTGGTGCCAATTTGGATATTTCTTGAGGGGGCAAATTCTGGTCTCCACTGTCCCCCCTCCCACGCCACAACCGGCCCCCACCCCCATCCCATTCCCCACTCATCACCTCCCCCAACAACCATTGGTCTCCTCAGCTGAGGAGTCTCCCCTCTCTTACTTACACAGTGCACAAGCCAGTGCTGCCAGGGGTGGAGTTCTCAGCAGATTCTCCTATGCTCTGCCATATAGGAACAGACTCCCTGTGGCGCACCGTTTGGCCCAGAGCCACTGGGCCAAATATGAGGGTACATCTGCTCTAAAATCTGGGTGTGTGATTCCCAGCTCATGTAGAAATACTTGCACTAGCTCACTAAAAATAGCAGTGTAGCTGTGGTAGCGTGGGCAGCAACAAGCAGCAACATGGGCTAGTCATACCGAGTACACATCTGCCTGAACCCTGTGGGTATATACTCGACACGGCTAGCCCATGCCACCGCTTGTTGCTGCCCATGCTACCACAGGTGCACTACTATTTTTAGTAGTATGTCTATGCCAGCTGGGAATCACCCCCCCCCAACTCTTTGTGGAGAGAGACCCTAAGTGGCATTGTGACCCCATGCACCAGGTCACAGCGCCATTCACTAAAATTTCCACGTGTACCAGGGGGCAGCTGGGTCAAATTTCAGCATTGTGACCATGCAGCTGAAGTGATGCTCTGGATGCTCTGGCAGCAGCCATACTGATTTAGTACAAGGCCACTGCTTACAAGTGGGTGGGCAAGGGCCTCCTGGCTCTGTGACCTATGGAACTTTGAGCAAATGCAAAAACCTGGG